ACATTTTAGTTTTCTAAAAGCACTTTGTCCTGGTTTGGTTCTTTTTGTTGTATTAGTGTGGTCGTGACGCATCTTGCGCAATTGCACTTCACATTGTCTTTCAGATGTTAAAACTGCACGTCTTTTTAAATTTACTGACATTCATTTTGAGGTCAACTGAGGCTTTGGTCATGCAGCTGGCTAATTATTCTTAAAGCCACACATTTTTTTTGTCAATTATGCATGCACTGTATACTCAAATGTATACCATATGCAACAGTCACAAGCCTAACGATGGGATTTGGAAGATAATGATGCAAGTCAAAGCTGCGTTGTAAGTTCTCGTAGCTTTATACAGCCAAGGTAATCAATCGCCATTTTTATGGCTGCAAAATAAATCTCACGGTTGTACGCTCATTATCCATTAGTGATCATCAGCATAGCATTCATGAGTTTTTGTTATTGCTATACGTAGTGTGTACATATGTTGCTTTTTTTAATACCAGCCCAGCTTTCCCTGTGTGGTTCCTTAAATCACTCTCTAGCTGTATGTGTAAAGTGTCTTGAAATATATTTATTTTGTGCAAATCACTTTTGACATCGTTTTGAATGTTAGTATGTGATATGTTTGTTAGCCTGTCAGACATTTAAATACCTCTTACACGAGGTGAATATTGAGACAACCCCCCCCTTTATCTTTTTTTGCAAATGAGACATGCATGATCCCTAACTACACGTGTTAGGAAATTATCCAGACACCATTACAGTTAACGCAGTTGTGCGTCGTAAAACAAAACAAAATGGACTAAGATCTGCCCCAGCGGTTATATGAGCATAAGCTGAGGTCTATAAACGGGTCTCGAGCAAATGAATCCGTAACTTTGGATGAAAATCCACCTGGTGCTTTGAATGGTCAGCCAGCCACGACGCCCACAAAGGCAGAAGGTGTCAATCGTGAGCCTGGCTCTGCCCGCCCCCCTTCACACGACACCCACTTGCTAACCATATGGCCGCTCTCACAGATCGCCCTGCTGAACCTACATAAAGAAAAAGGTCGTACCCACCTCTCCACTCTTAATAATGACTATCGTCTGGAAACGTTAGATTGTCATACAGTACTTTTCATTTCACAATGGTGTTGTTGATTAGGGATTACAATTGTAGCAAAGTAGCAATCAATCGTCTTTATTTGATGTGGCAGGTGAAAAGATCTAAGAAGCAACATTTGATGAGTGGCGTTTTCTCAATAGTTAAGCATTCAACAGCTAAGCGAAATATAAACAAGTTACGTCCAGGATTGGTTCTAATGTATGTTATAACTTATATGGATATATCACATACGTTTTTTCATGGGAATGTCAGAATCCATTGCCATAATCTTAATGCGCAATTCATAGCACAGGCCTCACTCTGCTGAGTTTTTGGGTTGTGCTGCATCTTGTTCAGGGTGATATCCGATGTTTTGCTCCTTGTGCTGGCAGCTTCTTAAGGTACTGAACACGATGTGTTAATAGCTTTAAAATTAAATTCCAATTTAGTTTCTGCAGAAGCTCTCAGCATGTGGATCTAAACGTCGGACATCATGCCATGCAGCACGTGGTACAACCCGAAAAAACAACAGAGCTATTTATCACAACTGTGAACAACTATGTCGTATTCTAAGAATAAATTCACAGATGCAATCAACCAGTGACATGCTTTACAAGAAAAAAACAAATGAAATAAGTATGAAACCACTTAAGGTCCAAACTGTAAAGCTAGTTAATACAAAAGAGTATAAAAGTGTTGTATACAGTGCATTTGATAAAAAAATAGAGAAGATCTTTACAATATAGATTAGAAACAAGTGAAGAAGTGGGTCACAAATTTGGATTTTCGTAGTATGTAGACACGCAGAGTGTTACAGAAAGAGGATGTTCAAGGTAATGGGGTCAGCAGTAGAGGAGAGACCTCCCACTGAGCTGAGGTATAACGGTAGGACTGAGAGGAAGGTGTGGTTGCTCGAGCAGAGTGGGAGGAAGTTCAGTGTGATGAGGTCAGGGATGTCAAAAGGAACACGACCTTTGGATCTTAAAGGACAGATTTGTACTTGGGAGAGCAAACCTGCCAGTGTGAATTTACTATTCTGTCATTTAATCAGCCATATCACAAGAGATTAGTTTTGCTGTATAAAACCAAAGCTTGATTGATACCTTTAGTGGGCATGGGCAACGGTCCAGTTCAATTTCCTCCCCTTCCTTTTTAGCCCAGAAATTGGGCCCATCCGGCCCATGGGCCCTGCTGCAGTTGTACTGCCTGCACACTCGATAGCATACGCCACTACCCACAAGTGAGACGACGGATTTACACAGAGAATAACATCACTGTTAACCTGATCATGCTTATTTGGCATTATTCTGTTGTTTAAACATTCCACAACACTGATGTAAATGGTGATGGAGTCTTACAAATCCTGACAATCATAATAGTCATCGGTAAATTATAAATCGCTATAATGTATTTCATAAACCATACCATATTTTATTGTAGTGCAGCAGTGGAACATCGATGCACTCGTGCAATGCACAATTTAATTGCATGAGTTTTAATCCTGGCCATAGCAAACATTAATGGGATATGGTATTTGAATTAGTCCTGGGCTCCTTCACCAACCCGCAATGACCAATGTTTTTAGATATGCTTAAACAATCCCCATACCTCGTTGGTAATGGGGAGGCCTTTATCCAGCAGTGGATTGATAAAGTGCTGCAATATTACATATTTTATTGCAATGGATTATTTCCAAAGTGGAAGTGTTTTTGTTTGGTGGTTCGTGTGTGGGAAAATACTTACTCATTGCAATATGGTGACTCAAACTGTTATATATATAATAAAATGTTTTGTTCAAAAGCATATACAATATTAAGCAGTAATTAAAATAACATGAAATAAAAGCATGTATGTAATATCCATTACAATGTGTAAAGGGTACATTTAAGAAACAAAAGGTAATGCTTACTATCAAAAATTTTCATAATTCTAGTCCGTTTTGAAGGTTATTCATGTTTTCAGTTAATATTTCAAAGGTTGTCTAATGTCACAACCCTGGGTCCACCACATTGGAAAATGTTTTACATTTGGGATTTTTTTTGCTCCCTTGTGCAACAATGGGCTATTTTCCCGAATTATTGCCATCAACATTACCAGCCATGATCCACTGCTGGATTAGGGCCTTACCGAGTCGTTTCGGTGATGTTTCACAATACCACGGTGGTGAGATGTTAATTAATATGAAGTCGTGGGTTCGATCCCGACGCTGATGCCTGTTTGCAAGTTCTCGCCGTGGTCGCGTGGATTTTTCTCTGGGTCCTCCGGTTTTTCCCTCCACATTTTAGAATCATGCGTTTAGAGTTTGCCTCCTATACATTTCCACGTCAGTCACTTCGTTGAGTCAGGTTGCTTCTAAAAAAGAGCTAAATAGCTCGGCGGGCCTTACCTGGTAAAATAAAAAAGTGTATCGTGAGTTCACCAATCTGGTCGCTGCGAGTTGGTGAAGATGATATAGGGTGGCCAGGACCGGTTCAGACATCACTCGCCAAATAATCAAATTCAGGTGACTGGGTTTCTGGCCCAGTGCTCTAACCATTGCGCCACCGCTCCAAACCCATTCACTCAACTTTATCTTACAACAGTACCACGACACGTACAGGCTATCCATTTATAGCTACCCAACTGATTTTCTAATAATCCTCCAACTCATTTCTCAACAGGCAATCACATTTTGTGAAAGTGATGGGCCTTCATGTCTCTCAGACGTGCGTGTTCAACCATTTAATACACGTAACGGTATTGCGATTGGTGGGACATATGTAGAATCCCTGAAATTAAATGTATCGTGTTTTTTTTTGTTTGCATTCTGACCACAAGCAATTGTGGTTGATGCAGACATGATTCCTTGTAAAAGGTTTCAGTTTGGTGTTTTAACATCTTAACACACGTTTTGTTGCCAGAAAAAAAGGGGGAAAACCTATTCTCATGAAATGTATTGTTTTTTTTTAACCTTGTAACCCGGTTATTTCAGTGGGCGTATCTGTAAATGGATCATCACATGCGGCGTTTATCACCGCCTGAGCGTTGCTTGTGTGCGCACCGACTTGTCACACCCCCGCCCCCCAATGTGCGTGCAACCGTCACAATCGATAACGGAACAGACCACGCCCCCCACCAGTCCCCGCGTGGCTTAAACATCCCCGCCCCTGCCATCATCATCATCGTCGTCACGCTCGCAATCCACCAACCATCGCGAGGGGAACGTTCCCACTCCCGGCCAATCGTCTCCTGAAGCCACGGGCCGCCTGCTTCTCCCCGCCTCCAGCCGTTCCGCTCGCGCGGCGAGGTTCACGCCCCCACAGCTGTCAATCATCGCCTACAGGCCACGCCCACTCAGCGCAACTTACTTCCCTCTCGGTGTGCCCTTTGAAGAAGGGCCATTGCCCGAAACGTCTCCTGCTATCTACGTATTTTGTTTCCGTTTTCGGGCAGTGTTATTGGCGAGTGTGCAAAGTGTTTATTTATTTATTATCATCGTTTGCGCTTGGTCACCGCCGCGTTATGACGGCCAAAAAAAATGCCTTACGTAGCAAGGTCACGCCCACACGCGTCGATCAATGCCCGGAGGCAACGCGCAAATTCACCGGCAACGCGAGGGGCCCGACGCGGCCGCCCGCCGTCACTCACAAAGCCGCGCCCCGCACCGTCGCCCCGGTGCAGCCGAGGCTCGGCGCCGCTTCCTGTGAATCACCACCACCCCCCACACATTGCCTGTCAATCACCCGCGTGGGCCACGCCTACCCGTATCAACCAAAAACAAACGGGGCTCCGCCTACGGGCTGTCAATTACACTCAATGACCACGCCCGCAAATATCAACCAACCAAACCGAGGCTCCGCCCACGGTCTGTCAATCACCTAAGCCGGGACACGCCCACCCATATCACAACCAACATAACCGGGGCTCCGCCCACCGCCTGTCAATCACCCGCGCCGGGCCACTCCTCCCCGCGAAGTGAGTCACGGCGGGCACCGCCATTTTGAGGGTCAAGTGAACAGATTTGATGCTGGATTGGCCGGAGTTGGTTGCGGCTCTCGCTTTGCTTCGTTACGACCGCTACGACTGCCCGACACTGCTGCCGACGTAGCACCAAAGCCGCCTGCTGCGGAGTCACGGGCCACGCGGTGCCGAGTTTTGTGAGCGGAGTCGCCCGGCGCTCGCTCGGTGTGGTGGTGGTGGGGGGGGGAGACTCCGCCCGCCCATGAGAGCCACGGGGCCGCGGGGGCGGCCAGGCGAGACGGGGGGCTGAGGCCGGCCACGGCTCCTCGCTGTCTCTTCCTCTGCATCTCAGTCTCCACTTGTATCTTTTCGTTTCGTCAACACAACTTACAAAGTTTCCCACGTCGCCGCTGTTGCTGCTGCTGAAGTTTGGTGTCGCCGCTGCTACTGGTGGTGGTGGTTGTACAGGAGTTTGGGGGTGGTGGAGTTGAAAGAAGAGGTGTCGGAGGAGAAACGCGGAGTTCCCCCCCCCCCTTGTATACTGCTTTAGTTGAAGAATAAACAGGCGGCGGCAAAACGGGATTTTTTTTTTTACCAGCACGAGTGTTCGGAGACGGCGGCAGCAAGCAACGTAAACTAGAAAATACGACGAGCAACAAGTAGGGGAAATCAGAAGCGGAAGGAGTGGAGGGGAGAGGGTCTGTGCCGCTCCTCCAGGACGGTCGCCTTCGTCGTCGTCGTTTTCGTCGCTGGTGTTTTCGTTATCGTCGTTATCATGGCTGCCAACCCCAGGAAATTCGCGGAGAAGATCGCACTGCACACGCAAAAACAGGCTGAGGAGACTGCCGCCTTTGAAGAGGTGATGCGAGAGATCACCTACAAGAGAGCCGTGAGTGACACATCAAACACGAGAGAGAGCACACAGCCCTCACCCCGACTTCAACTAAATCTTCACCCCGACTTTAACCTTTACACAGACTCCAACCCTAACCCCGACTCCAACCCTAACCCCCGCTCTCCAACCCTAACCCCGACTCTAACCCTAACCCCGACTCCAACCCTAACCCTAACGTCATCCTCGACTCGCACTCTAACCCCAAACCCCTCACCCAAACGCCACTTCGACCCCGACTTAAACCCTTACTAAAACCCCAATTAACCCCAACCCCTACTCAAAACCTAACCCTCGCTCTAACCCCCTACTCACACTTTGACTTAATCCCACCCCAATCCTGGCATTAACCCTACTCTAATCCTGACCCGAACCTTGATTCCAACCCTAATTTAAACTGACCCAAACCCAACTGAAACGCTAACCCTAAACAAAACCCTTGCCCCATCTCAAACCCTAATTGCATAACTACCAGAAAACTACATCACAAGCACAAACCCTAACCTTGACCACAATTTCAACTCAAACGCTGACTATACATCACTAACTCAAACGCTCACCCTGACAACATTACCAACCCAAACTCTAAATCCAACCACAACTCTTAATCCTAACACCAACCCCGACCTCGGCCCGAATAACAAAACAACTATTTAATAGCCACTGATGCAACTAAAAGAGTTCAACACTGACTCCAACCTTGACTATAACAGTAATCAAATCAATAAAATAAAAGTAGTTTAAAGAACCGATGGAAACCCAGAACTCCGTCTCCATCCCTCATCCTAACGCCCAGTGCTCTTGGCACCAACCCTAATGGCAACCCCGAGGATAACAATTACAATAACCCACACCCCCCTCATTCCGAATACAACCCAAAGCCGTAACACAGAACCCGTCGACAATTTTTTTTCACCACCTCGCTTGCGCTGTGACCCCAGCTCCAACTCTGACCCCTATGAGCAGCGTGGGAAACGTGGCCTCATTGAGGACCAACTCCCCTCTCTCCTCCTCCACCCACCCACCCCCAACCCCTTCGCTCTTGGTCATCAGACATTTGGCCCGAACCATGACATTGTTGATGTACCCTTGAAGCTGTTTGCGATTATGCGGTTTATGATGAATCCCGTGTTGTTATTGTTGACGATATTGACATTGTTAATTGGGATTATGATTATCTTCCTGTTGGCCCTTAACGATGCCGCGTGGTAGTAGAAGATGCTCTTGATCTCGTTACTGGTGACGATGCTGTTAATTTTGATTGTGTTCATGATGGTGACTGACGATGCTGCAGGTCCTCTTGTCCGTGATACTCGTGATAGTGATGCTTATGATGATGATAATGATGGTGATTATGCTGCTGGGACTTGTTGATGATTACGCTGTTGATCTCGTAGTGCCAGATGGCCTTGCGGCGTTAAAGAAGTGGCGGCGTGTGTCGGACTGATAACGGAACAGTGTTGAAGCACGCTTGCTTGCTGCTCTGGATTTGGTTAGGTGGGAGACTGTTTATGAGATGTGAAAGACCATCGCCATGAAATAGGAATCTGGGAGAGGGGACAGGGGGTGAAATTAGTAAAAAAAACCCTATGTATTGTAAACGACAAGGAACCCGAGGTATTTCAGTGCCGCAGATTAAGCTACCCGGGCACATTTGTTAATGTAAATATATATTGGTGAAGTTATTGCCCTGGCGTTATTGATGGATACTCGCTTTTAAATCACAAACTGTGTGTGCATGCACATGTTAACAGCGTCATGAACTAATGATACTTGATTAAAACATGCTCGAGCAATGATTTTTCCATAAATGTGGCTCTGAAGTTTGACACCGTTGAATGTGCGTTGTCTCTTCCTAAAGATGCAGTACAAGTCTCGCCAACTGCAGCTGGTTCAAAGCCGTAGCCAGTACTACGGCGGATCCCTGCCAAATGTCAATCAAATGGTGAACAATCCCGAGCTTCAGGTACGATGGGCGCTTTGCTTAGAATATAACTATGTAAGGAATTGTTTTAGGCACACAGATGTGCACTATACCTGTGCGTATAAAACATACTACATAAATATACTTGTGGGAGGTGGAATGGCAATATCCACACTGTCTAGTGAGCCCTCAAAGAACAGTCGTAAAAGCGTCTTTGTTTGTTCAAAGGTAAAATCAAACGTCATCTACCAAAGTGTGGCAATCTGTTCATGGCTTCTTTTTTCTTTAACACTGACTTGTGAGAAGTTTAGCCATTGTTGCCAAGTCTTCGCTGGTATTTTAAAAAGTTTGCCCATTTGTTGAGCATGTGTGGAGTGGCACTTTTGTACTCCCCATGCAAAAGAAAATACCAGTTTTAGAGGATTTTGTTCGAATGCAACATTATACTCGTGATGTAATACGAACAGTTTTCTGTACACACAGTTCTGCTTGTCGGTTCAATGAAATTGCTGTACACTAAGTTGGAGTAGTTTAAATAACTTTTAGCACTGGGTAACATGTCTTATCCAAGCCATTGGAAATATTTAGAATATGCTGAGATCCTAATTAAGAGGAGCAGTTGACAATGTAAAACTGACACAAGGGATGTTTTGTTTATTGCAAAGCAGTGGTTAAGACTGGCTGACCCAACAAATAATTTGTCCTTATGATGAATGATTTGTAGGCAAGGTTTCATGTCGTGCACTGTGCTGTCCTCCTACCGATGAGACAGTGTTGGGCTCTAGGGATCAGTGATGCTTAAAGCAAAAAAATACACACGAGTTGAATAATACACTTTTATGAGCACTGCAGGTTGCTTTGTTAATAGTCTTTCTGTAAAATTGTCCTCGGGCTCTTGTCACTGAAAACGGCCCTCATTTTTTGGAGGAGTTTTGACCAGAGTTTTTTTTTACAGTAATCAGGAAAGGCATGACTTAAGCATTTTTGGTTTCAATTTACAAGCAAAGTACAGTGAACAGTTCCAAAGTTGTTGACAAACTTGACAATGCATAGAATGTGGCTTACTTTTCTGCACGTGTTTTATTGACAATATCAAGTTCCAACCATTGTCAGTATTTTCCTTATTATTTTAGTGTTTAATAGACATCAAATGGATTTGGGCTTTATTATAAAATGTTACCCATCCAGTATTTCCTTGATTGTATCATGTTTGCTGAGTTTGCTTAACTGACCTGTTATATATACAGCCAAGCTATTTAATGTGATTTTAAGAATGGCCATTGTCCAAAACATTACCAATTATATATCTTAACCAAAAAAAATATATTTTTTATTTTTAAGGCAGTGTTCTTGATGAATGCGAGTTATTTTTGTTGATTGTTGTGTTGATTATATATTGAGGGGTTTATTTCTTATGAAAAATGTGGAACCTGGAAATACATTTACTCTCCAAATTACCTTTTACCCTCTTAATTATGAGTATAAAACATGTACCAATTGCTGTCATATAAAAATGAAGTATTGGATTTCATGATGGTGTCAAGTCAACACATTACCAGGGAACAAATTTGCAATTTACAATAATCACAAGTGTTCACTAATCAAATATTAAAAATGTATTGTAATGGTATGTTGGATAAGGGATTTAAATATAAGTTATTTTTATTCATCTTTTCATACATGTTTTATTGAGATATTTTTAACGAATTTGTTCTTGCAATTTTGTAGCACAGCTCCATTAACGGGATGGGATGCACGTCACTTTAAAATTGTGAAACATGTAAAATCTTGTGTTATTTGTTACTGGTGTATGGGTGTTGGAAACTGTCGTATGTCATTATGAAAAAAATACACAATCCATTTGTCACTGCTTCTGGATAGTCTCCATACATCTGTGCCAGTCATGAGGTTTGTTTTGCCATACTTCACCCTGCTGGTCAGTGTTGGATCCCAGGACTAGTTAAAATATAACTTGTCACATCATCGTAGCTACGGCCAGGAATTGAATTCGCGTTACTGGTTACATAGTTCAGTGTGTTAACAAATGTGCCAGTGCTGCACATCATTAAAACATTAAGTATTATTTTACTGGAGCCTAAGTCCACCTGTTAGAAATTATTATTAAAGTATGTTTTATTCTTGTGAAGGCTGTTATGCGATTTCTTTATAAAACAGATGATTTTGTAATCTAAATATTAATGTTATATTTTCTATTAAAAAAACATTCCGAACATTATTTAAAAAGGAAGTTTTTACAAAGCAAATTATGAAGTCCTGTTCGATGTATGGTCAAATCTGTAAAAGTATGTTCTGGACCAGGAAATTACACATTTTGGTAATCTGCAAGATTGGATACAAGTGCTTAGGACTGTTTGACACTGATAAATTAATGTTAACTTAATTTGTACATTTGAAATAACTAAAAGAATGTATGCATGATGTTCATGGTGTATGTGATCTTGAAGCCGTCATTTAAAATAAATCGTGAGAACTTAATTTAACAAAGGCATTAGATTATTTGGCGACAAATACCTTTTCTTTTTAACAAGACATTGGCATTTTGATTTAAAGCTTTCGTGACTGCAGTAATTCATATTCTTAGCTCTTTCGGTAAAGTCACGTTGAAGGGAAACAATAAAATAATAAAATATATATCATCAGATGACGACTGTTTGTGTTATGGTCGAAACGTCGTGAGATTTTTTTTATTGTTTTCTATATATTTTATTATTTTATTGTTTCCCTTCAACGTGACTTTACCGAAAGAGCTAAGAATAAGACATTGGCAGATAAATTTTCGGTTGCTCGTTGTTTTGTAGGGACAGTTTTATCCTGCAATCGACGCAAACAGGGCTGCAACAAGACATCACGGATTGGTGGATCGTCCCAGCCGGGCTCGCCTTATGTCCCCTCATCGGCGACAGTTCCCGCTGGACAAACATGCGCGACAAATATCCTTTTACCAACGTCAAGATTCTGTCAGCTGTGTGCATTGTCTTTCCATTTTTTGCATGTTCTGTCTCCGCAACACAGTTTTGTTCAATGTAAGCTCAGCTTCGCTCACCAAGAAAAGAAGGTAGAAAATCATCTTTAATCTGTGTTCAATAATGGATTTGCATTTGTTAATTTTATATTTAATATCTATGTTAGTGTTTCTGCGTCATTAATTCCACAGTTAAAGGCTTAGCAGTCTGGGTGGTAGGCATAAGCTGCTGATGTGACTGTGGTGTTTGGTTTATTTTGCCTATGCGTTACTGGATTTCATTATAATTGATAATACATTATTGATGTTACTTGCAAAATTTAATGTAAGTTTGATATTTTTATCTCGTTATGACTTGAGTCAATATAATAGCCATTTTTTCCATTAAAGGACTGAAACAAAACATTGTATGTGGCCTGTAGAAGTGCCTACCATAAAGAAGATACATGTGCAGTTTAATTTCGGTGAAGTAAATAACTTATAGGTAAATAAGTGTCAGCAATTTAAGTACATTATAATGGCTAGTACTTGGAAATAGCTTATAGCATGGCATTATATCATGTAGTGGTATAAGTAATGTGTCCTTTTTGAGGTCTTTTAAGGTGCCAACTATTTGGTGATTCTGTTAAATAGTTGTATTATTCCTTATTTCCATGCACGTATGATTTCAGTCTAACCGTGAAAGCAAATATTAAAACTCCTAGAATCCTCAAAATTGCTTAATGGAATCTTTCTGAAATTGTCCTGACTGAGTAGAAGCAATTCATGATGATGTTTTCATCAGGGGTTTTGGTTAGACTCACTTCAGGGGAATGTATGCCAATTCTGCCTGTCTTTTAAATGAGCAACAAAAAGCCTTGGATCTCTCGTTACAGGCAATTTTGGCTTGATCTGGTTTTCCGGGAATCGCTTTTAAAATCTAAAGCAGCTTTTTGGCAGTCGCGTCTTGCCATGCAGTGACAGCATTTGATGGTCTGTTGCAAGGAGCTCCCAGTATTTCTCTGTGCATCTTCATAAGTAGTGCACTAATTATTGTATAAATTAGATCTAATGGAAATTATTACATAACAGCTCTGTCTTTTGTATTTAAATATTTTTTTTTCCTTTTAGCCTGAAACTCTTGGCTCACATAGAATGATGCAACTTAAGCCGAGGGACTGCTTATAACTGTAAACTCTTTTCATGCTGCCCACTGTACTCGCACTCATTAAATATTAAACGCTTCCAAAGGTTACATAGTAAAATGGCCTTTGCTTTGCTGGAACCTTCTTAAAATCATTACATAGTACTGTCTGTGTAAGATGCTGTGCAATCGCCATTTTGCTGAATATTCCCTGTGACTTGTATATCAACACAGTTTCATAAACAGTGAATAGTAAGATCCCCAATAGTATTTGGCTATTAGTCATGTATCTTGTAGGAATGCTCGAACTACCATTTGGCCAGGAGGGATGAAATCAGGATGAGAGTGTTACCTTTGTTAAAACAATAGACAAATATTTTCCAGTATTGGAAATGTGTTATATTACCGAAAGAACCAAAGAGTAATGTGTTACATTGTTTAGACAATTAAAATGTGTTCCTGTCTCATGTGTAATCGAACATACATACATCTTTTAAGACGTGCAAGTTTGTTGATGATTCAGTCGGCGACATTTGTTTATGTACTAAGTTAATGTTAAGTGTGTTCTTCATTTGGTCGTGGGTTTAGGTTTGGGTTAGCTGTAGTACAGTATTGTAAATATTAGTGAAATGGCATGCTGTGGCATATTTGGATATTCTAAAGACGTGTGCCCTTTTGATGTTTCTATCTTGAATCGTCTACTCTGTCGTTATGCATGCTTTATGTATGTTTCAAGGAAAATATACAAAATTTCACTAAACGGAGTAAGATGAGTGGACTTTTTGACCAGCAGGACTTTATTTTCATGTTTTTTTTACTTTCTGTAAATTTATACAGTACAGTACTGTATTTTTGGACAGCTGTTTCCCCCTTACTTTTGGCAGGAAAAAGTATTAGCTTTAACTTTAAAGGCTATTTAATATTTTTGCCAAAAAAACAATGCAAAATTCACTTTATATCAGTTCTTGAAAATGGGGTTTTATGTTTACAAAAATTATATGCAAATATAATTTGTTATTGACAAATTCGGAGAATTTAAATTGACAAGACTTTGTACTCTGTGTACGTGTTTAAACGTATGTGTTTTGATAACATACAGGTACACTGAAGACAAGTGAAATAATTTTTTTTAACTTTTGTCAGGATCCACATGTCAAATGAGCCTTGTAAATTATGCTTTGTAGTAAGCCACTGCGGCATTCTCATTGGGGCTATCTTGAGCTGGGTGCGTGTTTGTGCCTCACACACAGATTGTTTGCCATTTGAATATGGTCTCCCCATTGCACAGCGGTCTGGACATGGCTGGATCTTGTAGATAAGCCTTCTCCCACCCACCACCCCCCAAAAAATATCCCCTTTACACACAGCTTTCATTCTCAACATTGTTGGCCACTTGGCTCTTTTGTGAAAATTACAGTACGCCATTAAGCGGTGTATGCAATAATAGGAAAAAAACTTTTCATATAATTTGCTCCGGATCCTTTTTCTGCTCATGCTGCCAATGTTCTTAATGTGACGTTTTATGTCAAAGCCTGTTTATATGCGTATTCCTTGACCCTGATTTTTACATCGACAGTTCGCCATATGGCTCAGTTTATCTGTCCCCACCACCAGACACGTCCAGCTGGAGGAGGTAAGCACGTTTCACATTTTCCCAATGTGCCCTTCATATTTAAATACGTACGAAGTGACTTGGAACATATGTTGATAATTGTTTTGGTTATTTTTAAATTGGTATTTTACAATTTTTTGTTGTTAAAGATATGGCGTTTAATATAAAAAAAATGCATAAGAGAGACGTGAATGAAAATTCTGAAAAAAGTTTCCATTCGGGGATGAATAGATGCATGGTTTAATGAATAAACGCTCGTTCCAAAGGCTGCAATAATGTAATGCATGCAAAGTTACTTGCCAGTTCTGTTATGCCAGATGTTTTTTCCACTCCACTGTAAAACCCTAGTGCTCTTTGAATTACTGTACTGAAATGTGAAAGTGTAGCAAATATGACCTACTTAAAAGCATATTTAATCTTACGGCAACCTTTGTTTTCATACATCATTTTTAGCACACCCCACATTAGACCTCTCAACTGTCGCCATTTCTTTCTGTAATGATCAAACAGTCTTGAACATTTTTGGGTTTTTTTATTTACAAGAATATTTAAAAGAATACAAAATTAAATTTGTTTTGCTACGTTAGTCTATATATGCTTAGTATTTGCTTGTTCAAGGTTGGATATGATAATGATAAGCTAGTGTTAAAATAAATAAACACATGTCATACTAAATATTTGTGTAATTGAAAAAGACGAATGAAAACGCTTTCAAGGATCACTTATATAATGTTTACATTTGTCCCACTCGTTAACAAACGACATGAGATGGGAATATTTTTATTTATTAAGGACTCCATCCCTTCATCTTGTTCAGTTATATTTAAATTATTTTTGGAAAAGTTAATTTACTGTTATCAGTTTATTTTGGCGTAATAGCTATATATAATTAATACCTCTGGAAACTCATTTTTTTTAAGATGGGAATTTCCAGTTGTCATACATACATAAGTAGCCATTATCCTTCATAGTTAGTAAAAGTAGAATCCCCTAAACCAGACTAATTGTCGACCTTAAAAGAAGATGTCGATCTGTTGCATCAAAATTAGCAGAACCAATGTACTTATATTTACACAAATGAAATTACTCATTCAGGGAATTATACTTTGGTCATTGTTCTATTTACAAAGGGAGAGAGCCTGAATCACAAACCTTTTAGCCTCTTACCACAAATTTATAAACTGTTCTTAAAGATCAGAGAGTCAAATGTTGGTCAGTTTAGAAACCAGCCAAACACAATAGCAAGCAAAAATGCAATTTCAAAGCAATATACCAATGTGCACAAATAAGATAGTGCCAATCAGTTAATCTTGCCTTCTGTGACATGTGTATCATAAAAGTGAACATTTATAAAAAAAATTGAACAGCTGAAAAGACGATAAAAGTTGAAAGTAGAAGCATGTAAAGCTGTTATGTAGAGAATTGTGATGAGAGACAGAAGTGGAAATACACATTCCAGAGAACAAACAAAAAGTAATATAGACATCTTATTGCAAAAAAAGTAAGTCTGCTTCGGCAAGTTGCACTGCTGTCGGGGATTTTACCTGATAGACAAGACTGAAGAATGGCAGCCAAGGTAGAGAATATGCCTGAGAGGATGACCATCTCTGATATGAAGTGATGAGAACAGCTTGTATACGGGAGAGAGGTAGATTGTGGCAATGCAGGACCGTGAGAGATGGCAACGACATAGACATGGACAATTGCTGATGGTAATGATTAATTAAAAGATTACCTGCCACTTTCACTGAAGTTTATTTAACGAAATAGATAGAAGTCAGCAGCAACTAACTTAATTCTCTAACCTTTTTATTGATTGTGTTTAAAGCATTCATTAGATACCTGTCTCAGTGTTGGATATCGTGTTAAACGTATGCACGATTAATACACATACACGATATTTTAACCTGATGCTGTCATAAAATCTGGCCTTAGAACCTAACTTGTAGCTAAAATATAACTACTAACCTTACAGGTCTTGCAATATAAAATCATCCAATACAGATTTACATTAATGTAAAAACCATCAGGAATGTTAGATGTATACCCTCGTCCGCTTAAAATATTGTAATATGTGATCGTGTAGTGATTTGTTCAAGTATTTGGCTTTCCATTGTATCTATGTTGAACTTCTTTTGCACCTTACGTAGCCAAACGTGCTAATTGGAGATGTCGGGGAAGGAGAACAAACTAAACACAAAGCAGTTCTAAAGAAATTAGTTTTCAATGTAGTGGCTTCCTAATATCGGAAGGAAGAGCATTCCAGACGGCCGCAGAACGGCATCTGAAAGCACGTGAAGCAGTCGCCGTCTTTGTTGGATGGCTTGCCCAAAGCCTCTGCGATAGACATGCTCTTTTAATGGTTACATTCTACAGGCAATAGGCATAAAAAATTCACGGCAGTGTCCTGCCAGGCTCGCCCTTCCTTTTTCCCTTTGCACGCAATTTCCTTTCGTCACCTCAGTTTCCCTGGCCCCTCTCTTGTTGGCCCATGCTTGTCCCCTGTGTTTATGCTTTGGCTGCGGGGCCTTTGCCGTTTGCAATCACATCTGCCTGTGTTACTCCAGAATATTTCTTGATTCTTTGTAACCCTCAGACCTTTGTGACTGCAAGTAGCACAGCAATGCAAACTGCTTTTGTGAACGACGGCATTTCGTGGACATTCATTGGCACCCATTACACGTAAACAATTTTATATCATCGCAAAAATGCTTCGGCTCACGAACGGCATATGTCCAATTGCCTGTGATAAGCCCGCAAAGGTTGCACGAACATGCCTGAACATTTTTTGTGGCGTTGCTGTCGTGTGACAGTGCGCAAGGCATTTTCTTGCAGTTGAAATAAATATTTAGCAGCAATGCGGGCTGCTCAATTAAAACGTTTGCTCGTTTGCTTCTTGTACATTTTAATTGCGCAATACCGGCGTTGGATGTGCTAGGCAAAGCTTTTGTGTACATTTAACTGTGTTGCATGGATTGGTGTCATACAAAGTTCAACAACTTGTACTTTACAACAAAAACTAAATCACAAGTCAAGTCTTGTGAAATGTGACAGAATATTATGTATAGTTTCATGCTGTCCAGTTTGAAAAGAAATACAGTTGTAAACACTTGCAAGTAAATGTGGTGTTTGTGTACCTTGATTTTTGTTTTTTATTTCCCCCCCCTCACCTTTTACATATACTGTACTAACATTTCAGCCAAAGAGCCAACTGACTGTCTTATTCATAAAGCATTTTCATTTTAAATCGCATTAAGTTGGAAATTCAGTGCCGCCATCCATCATTATGATATCTTAAGTGACTATCTGCTTATATACTTCTGTACTGAGGGCTTTGCGTTCCCTCCCCCATCTGTCGTCTTCATTTTGGATCTGCAGCATGACCAATTTTGGTGTATTTGCACACACACTGTTGTGTCCTGCATTTAGGTTAAGAGCAATAAATTGTGCAAATAAAGTGGGACGGCCATGGTTGCCGTGCAACATGTAATGTGCTTAATCAACGTAAAAGGCAGAAAATGTGTTTTTTTAGTTTCATGCGTTCGCCCATAATTATGCTTTTTTTTTAAACGGCGCCTTCATTCTTATTTGTTGCCATATTCTACACTTCATTGGTCGTGAACTTTCATCACAAGGCCCAATAGAATTACATTTCCAGAGCTTATTTTTAGGAGAGTGAAAAGCACTAAATGGATGTTGATAAAGTACTCACATTTGTCGGGCTTCAGCGGTGATATATTACCCAAAACACAGCTAGGTTTTAAAGGGAGGGGTTGCATAATGTTAGTGCTAAACAAACTATCATTGCATTTTGATTGGTGCTGAGAAGGCCAATGGTGTAATACAGTCGTTAAAATGCTATTCCAGTACATTTGTTTTATGTAATTTTATAGCAATTATCCGCTTGTTCCATTCAAACATGATTCCTTAAAATAAATGTCCCCGATTTGATGCATGCAATGTAAAAAAAAACCCAACTATACACTTTCTATACAAAATACAGAATCGTTTGCTCTTAAATCATCTGCAGGAAGCAGGGTGCGGACTGCAATGTCTGTTCCAATGCATTGTCCCCATCTTGACCCAAGTAGTTATTTGGCGTCGTTGTGCATAATCTAAGTAACAAAGTAATATTACGGAGACTTTATCTCCTTTTTATATATCTGTCCCTTCACTTGATACGTATTTTATTTTAGGCTTCCCATTTAACCACACGTCTTAATGGGAGGAGCAGGGAGTGTTTAATTTCAGCAGCTTTGATTCAACACAAGCACACCCTTGGTCTGGTTCGGACACACAGCGGGTCATCGGCAGAATCAAACTAATGCTGGCAAAGGGCAGATCTCAGCATTGGTTCAGGCGATCCTGGCGTTATAGTTGCTATAACTTGTTTCTAAATGTAAATACTGTTTGTACTGTATTATTTAAATAAACAATTTTGGCTTTTTTTCCCCGCCTTCAAGGGGTCTGAACCCGTGCCGTAACTTCCCTGGTATGGACGAGAGTTATGGATATAAACTGGGCTTTTCCTCAAGCCTCAACAGGTGAAAATACTTTTTTTTTTTTTATAAAACAGTGTCATTGCTTCATTATAACGGGGTTATAACCTAATAGCGCTCACTACTTTAACGTAAGGGGAATTAATGGCTTGTTGTGTTAACTTATAATTTGTATGACAAAAAAATACTCATGGTCATCTCAGATTAATACTGACATTTTTAGCAATGCATTTTTTACATCTTAATTCAGGATTGAGATGAACTAACTACACTGCCTTTAAAATGCATGATATATTCATTACGGGAAAAGTGACACTAAATGAATACATTGAGCTTTATTATTGATGACCAAAATAGACAGCACACTGCCTGATGAGGCTCCTTTAAAATTTCACCTGTTCAATCATGACCTCAGATGAACTTATTCAAGGGTGATGTTTTGTTTTGTTAACATTGTATTGTTAATTGACCTTTAACTGCTAAGTTTAATGAAGCGTGACCAATTACAAAAATTTATCTTGTCAGATTTGACTGTGTATTGCTCATGTACACCTTAAGATGTGGATTCATTATTTTAATGTACTGGTTTTTCTTATGATTAATCATGCTTATATTCGTCTTTCTCTAGGCATAACTCGGACTCTGCTCTACATGCCAGTGTGGTAAACACAAATCCTCAAAATCAGTTTGTCGCACAAAATCCTGCTGGCTCCCAGCTAAACAGAAAAAATGGTAATTTTATACCTCTATTGTGGTTGTGGGAAACATATGCCCTTGGTCACAATTGTTTATTTTCACGCATGTACGGTGAGACGAGTATTTTTTTATATGCTTGTAATGGTATCCGTGTATGAACAAAATATGTATATTTTGACGCATGCAATATGGTCATTTATTTTAAAACACATTAGCTCTGTTAATGTAATGTGATAATCATTTTCATGAACAGGACATTAATTTCTCTTGTCACGTGAACATTTTGTTACATACACTTATGTTTGTAAAGACATATGTCAGAAGGCTTACAAGGAATTGGAATGAGTTAAAAACAATTCGACTCGCTTATTTTTTGACTACGATTCATTGTGCCGTTTAATGGGATTCTCCCTGCAGCGTTCCAGCTGGATGTCCCCACAATACAAGAAGATCTGCTGAACCCAGATGACCCATCAATCTCCAAGCAGCCATGGGAAACTAGAAAGGTCTTTGCATGCTAAATCATTGTGTGGATACATTGGAAAGGCGGATGCTGTTCTTTAACGGTCTTGACCTCGGACACTTCAACATAACACAAGGTTTTTTTTCTTGTTTATTGCAGCCTGTGGCTACGTCGTCATCGTCGTCATCCTCGTCAAGACCGAAGTCCTGTGAAGTACCGGGAATCAAGTATGTCACATCAGCATTTTTAAGCAAAATGCACAAACGGGGGACCATTTAGTTACTCGAGCATTCATGAATACAGTTGGTTTGTAATGTACAATAAAATATCCTACAATAGTAGGAAATGAGATTGTAAAAAAAACCCTGACTATTATGTGTTCCCTTCAAGGAAACACGATGCAGACTTGTTTTGTAACATGCCATCTTTTTTTCTCCAACAAACTTTTTTTCCCAGTGTGTGCCTTATGTAAATGATGATGCTGCCACCCTTCTCACCTCATCCTTATTCTGTTCCCTCCTCCCGCACGTGCCAGCATATCCCCGTCGCTGGAGCAGGGCACGACAGCGAGGAGGAACGTGCCATGCATCTCGTTGCCCCCAAACACGGGTGGCTCGCTGCCGGACCTCACCAACATCCCGTCGTCGTCGCCGCTCGCCACTCCGCTCGACCCCGAAGAACCCAACTCTTTTCCCAACATTAGTGGTGGGCGCAGCACCGGAAACTTGGCCACCAACCTCATGCACCTGGACATTGGCTCAGCGGCCCAGGGTGAGCTCACTGCTGATATGTATATATTATTTTTTAAACGTTACATGTTTATCATCCACCAGATGACATGGAGTAAGAATATTAGGAGATTGGTCGTAAAATAATATTGCCAAGTGTCGTGTTTCTTGGAAGTAAAATGTCCCATGGTAATGTTTGTATTCGCAGGTATATTGTGTAATGGAGTTAAAGTAACATTTCGTGATTTATAATTTACTAAATACTAAAGTCACTTCTTCTGTAAGTGCTGGCATAAGGCAGCAACTTTTTTTTATATAAAGTGAGTTACTGACAACCCCACTTTCACATTTGTTGGAAAAATAGATTTGTTTGAAAAACATAACTTTTGTATGACTTGTGAATGTTTCATAGAGAGCGTTAATTTATTTTGTCGTTCATGCAGCTGCTGGCTCAGAAAGGAGAATGCATCAAATTGGCCCTCGGCAGAAACACAACAACTCTTATTTACCAGCACAGGAAGGTGTGCTTGATGATGCAGAATGTCATGTTTTGTGTGCATAACAATTACACTTAATTAGGAAAAAAGGTTACTGTTATTTTTATGTTAATGTGAATAATGCTTTTTGAACGGTTGTGATGATGACCGACACTTTTCAGGTACTGTGCCTTCGCCGCAGCTGACTCCCCTGCGCAGGCACAAACCGGTGAGCCCACTCACGCTCGAGCCACTTCCGCTGGACCTGGAGTCGAGGAGGACGCACCACATGCGGCAGCTGTCTCCGACACGCTCCCCTGCCCTCTCACCACTCTCAGAGGTGAGTTGTGCACAGACAAATAAACCAAAAATCTTTGCCCATCGCGGGTTTTCCCATCTAGGATTTTCACATCGTGGATTTGACTTCGCTGGACCCTTCGTGGTTGACTGAAATTCTTGTATGCGTCGTAAGTGTATACTGCTTGCGATGATGCTGCCGCGGAAGAATACACAAGCCATCTTGTCTCCTTTTTGTATCCGTAAAGCCCATCGCAGCTCCCAGTTCATGTACTCACAGCATCTAGTGAGGCAGTGAGGTTCAGCTGCACAATTTTTTATTGCTTTGAGTGCCCTTATTGTTTATTTTGCAATGCCCCTAAAAGAAAATTAAGTGGTCCTGAATCTTGTGAAAAGAAGCGGAGGATGGTGATGTCTCTGAGCGAGAATGGTGAATTACTCAATTGACGTTCGATAGGTGAATGCTGCATCATCATTAACCTAATCTTTATTTTTAGGTTTACATTTACGTGTACACTACAGTTTCATTATATACATATACTTTATAAGTCAATATTTAACACTATAGAAAATGTTATTTTATATTGAAATACTTAATGTTTGGGTTAATGAAGGGTAACATTAAACAAAAGGAGGGGGTGTCGTGTTACGAACCCGTGAACCAAACCCTAGATTTCCCATTTGCCTCTTGAATTTGCGGATCGGGGATTTTTGTCGATTGCTGCTATTTTCAAGAATGTAACCCCGCTATGGGCGAGGATTGCTGCGAGACTTGTTGAGCAGGTTTTAATACTGTGATTTGAGCCATAGTGCCATCTAGTGGACAATCACTTATTCTACTCATGACTGAATGTTGGTGACCTCACTGATGATCTACTCCACTCTGTGCACTTGGGCTTTTCTATAACATTGGTGTACTGTCCTTCTGATTAAATTGACGGTACGATCTGTCCATCTTAGTTTCTGCCTACTTCCGTCCCGTTATTTCTTACACTTTACATGCAATAAAACAGGTAAAAACTGTATTTTTATTTTAAACTACAAACGTCTGGGTGTTTATAATTCGGATTTTACATATTAAAGTAGAATAGCATTTGAAAACCTTAATCGCTGTTTTGTGAAAAAAAATCCTCTTTATTTCTCAGGCTGTCGCACAGGACGCAGCAAACCTGGGGATGGATGACCCACTGACGTCCTTTCCACTGTACCAGCCTCTGAACCCCAATCGGCAGCATCAGCATCAGCAGCATCCATATCAGCAGCAACAGCAGCAGCAGCAGCAGCACCACCACCACCATCATCATCAACAGCAACAACAGCAACACCAACAACAGCATCAACAGCACCAACAACAGCAGCAGCAACAACAACAGCAGCACCAACAACAGCAACATCAACAACAGCAACATCAACAACTTCACCAGCAACAGCAGCAGCACCATCACCACCACCAGCAGCAGCAGTCGCAGCAGCAACAGCAGCAGCCGCTGTCAGGAATGCCACCCTCATCCCAGCCTTTACAGCAACTGCAGATGTTGGAACAAAGCCTACAGCCGTCTCGGTCGCAGCAGCAGCCTCCGCAGCAGCAGCAACCACAGAACGCACAAGCGCCTCCATCATCCATGCAGCAGGGCACGCAGCCACAACCACAAGGCATGATGCAGACTGCCCAGACACCAATGTCCCTGCATGAGTTGCAACAGATGCAACCTCCTCAATCGCAGCAACTTGGCAACTCGGCACACCCGCTTCCCCAGTCGCACAGCCACCCAAACATGCCGAGCATGGATATGCCATCCAGCAGCGTAAGTGTCGCCATGCATCACATTCACTGTTTAGTGCTCAACTAGCATATTATAGTGTTTTTTTATGGTCATAACAAATGATGGCCATTACCATGTTAATTATATGTAATTAATTATTTTGACATGGACGCTGAAACATTGCAAGTTTATTAAAACCCCCCCACCCTTGCCCACCCGACAGTCTGAATTGGGAGACGAAAGGTAGTCGATTGGCCATTGTGGAAGAGTAGCCCAAATACCCTCTAGAGTACCTCTCTTGAGCTCTCTGGGGTATAGGCCCTTTCGCCAGCGGCAGCATGGGCAGCAATTTCAGGGCCGCACTTTTAACTTGCATGTCAAAATTGTTAATCTCCTGTCAATAGATTGCATCATTGTTATCTTCAACAATTTTTTTTTTTAAATGCTGCAGTAAAAAACTGATAAAATGTTTTAAAAGTAATCCGTACATGTACAAAGGAGGGCCTGCCCGTACTTTGGAGGCTGTGGAGGTTATTTTACTGTACATCAGCATAGTGGTCAATTGCGGGTAGGTAAAGACAGCATAGTTGTGGGGGCACATAAGTACAGTACAACGACTATTTCAGAACTTCCCTCTGTTGCCCTGTAACCTATATCAAGCTTTTGTGCATGGTATAATTGTGCAAGTCAATAATGCGTGTGTTTTGTAGGGCCCTATACGGCAGAAGAGGAATTCAAAATCTGCGCAGTCTGTGAACTCTGTGCAGCCCACTAATGCAACTCCTTCATCTCCAGTCTCTACACAAGCAATCATCCATGGCAGTTTACCGAATGTAAGTCCTTTTTAAGGTAGTTGTTGAATTGTGGTCTTGGGTGAAAATTCACACCAGCATTGTGACAATTTTTCCAATTAAAATTATTGTCATTACAATTGGTCATGTGAGCACAGCTTAAGCCAAATGGAGCTGTCTAGTCAAGTAGTCAAGTAAAATGCGTTCATCATTACTTAAAATGTATTATATGATTTTTGTATTTGAGATTATTGGTTTCCTTTTCAAAAGAGCTGTGTATCTTTGCTCATGTCCGTGTTTTTTTTAGACATCAATGCTGAGTCTCTTCAATGACGGTTATGATCCTCCATATTATCAAAGGCAGTCAAATTCGTCATTGCAGCAGGTAATGATCTAAATATTGCACGTGCACACATTACCAACTTTATTGTGAATGATTAAAATGTTTGCATTGAGGCTTCACAATGTTTTTATAATTTGCCTGCATTAATGGAATGGTAATGTTTCCTTTTTTTGTACCACAAGTCGGATCCGTTTGATTTGGGAAATGGGTCGCTGGGGCTGCTGGGGATGAACAGCTGTGCAGACGTTGGTGGCAGTGGTCCGAGTTGGGCCAGCCTGCGCTACTCGCAGGCGGCCATGATGGGACTGGCCGGGAGTCATGGAAACCTGCTGGATTCACATCAGCGCAACAAGCACAACCTGATGTATTCCAATCATACGGACACCATCCCCGACATCATCCTCACTGGTAGGTGACGAGCTACACTTTAGCCTCTTTGTATTGCACTTTGTTCACATTCTGGATTGTTATGTTTTTTTTGCGTTCGGTGAATGGTTAGACTTTTTTCAAGGTTACATTTTACGCCTTGTTCGTTTCCATTACATTTCTTAACCTACTGAAGTTTAAAGTTTCAGTTTTAAATAATGAAAACGAATCCAATGGCTGAACGAAATATTTTAGTGACACAAAGTTGACAAGTAAACAATCGCTCTTGTGCTGCCTGTAGAATTGACAGACCTCGCCTGGTTAATGCTGGTTTGCAACCAGTCCCTGCAATTTCGTTTTTCTGTATAACCGAGCTGCGCCGACGTGGCCCACGAGGCGCCAGGTTTTTTTTCTCTTCAGCAGGAACCCAAGCCTGTGCCGCTGACGTTGCACGCATGATAGCTGAGTAGCTGGTAGATGATGGATATGACCGAAAATGAGTAAACCCTGGCTTTGCTCGGCCTCGAGCCAGATTCAGATGTTTTTTTAAGCATAGAGTTTCACAGTTTGGTCCTGGCTCGGCTTGTGGAAATAGCCAGTGGAAAACGCGTCCATACCATGATGGCCACGTGGTGGTGTGGCTCTGATTTGTCAATGGAAAAAAGGGATATAAGTGGCATGAATGGAGTGACTAATGGGCTAGCCAAGCAAATATGGATGTTATGAGCAAAGGGAGAATAGATTTTTTTTCATTGTTGCTCAATCACATATGCCTTTTAAATAACTTTAAATTAATACTTGTTTCTGTGTTTTGTGTTGTGCAGAGGAATCTTTGTCTGGTGGCTACCCAAAGGACATGAGTGCCCTGGCAGGAGTGCCAGAGATGGTGTTCGACTCAGACCCACAACTGGAAGATTTTCGGATAGATCCAATCGCGTTGGACAGCATTAGCATGCTCAATGACCCAGACATGGTCCTTCCAGATCCGTCCATTGAAGACACCTTCAGGTTTTACAGAAGTTAAGGGCTCACTGTTGCAGTTTTGGGTGTGGTATGGAGACAGGACTTGAGCAAGACACGAGATCATCCTTAGCCCTTATTTGCAGGCTTTTTCTTGGAAAGTCTAGAATATGTATATGTAACTTTTCTGTGAGCCTGCCTGCCATTACATCTGTTGCCAACTTCATGTTTAGTATATTCTTTGTTATGCCTAAACTGTTGCTGAACTGCAAAATTACGTCTATCTGTAAAGAATTTCTTTGTATTTATATTGTACATACAAGTTAGCAACACGCTCATGGAGTTTTCTTTTTGACTCGTAGTTGCAAAAGAAGGATTACATATTTTAACCTGTGCAAGTTGCTAGAAAGATTTAACTTTTATATTTCTAAGGGACACTGTGCGGGCAATTTTGCAGCACTCTTCTATACGCTATAGCACTTAAGGGAATTTATTGTATTCTTTCTCTTTAATACAGCCTGTACATTACATCTGGCGCATGTAAAAAAAAAAACGGCATGGGATTTTTTGTGCCTATTTTTTTAGTTCCTCTGACAATTCACTTTCTCTTTGTGCTTGCCTTTAATCCTGTAATCCGTAGCATTACACTGGAGATATTTGTAAGGCCAAAGCTTTGATGGACTTTAATGACTGTGCTAAAATGATTATTGACCTATCAATGCCACGCATTCTTAAAACATTGCATATTACAAGATATACTCACAAATGCCCACAAGAAATCTACTAATATATAAACTTAAGAAAGATAAAGAATGTATACTGGGCTCATTGGTTCGCATTTTGGAATGGAAATTATTAGACATGCATTCGAATGTGAGGAAGACATAAGTTCCTTGGTGTGAAACTATGCACCATTATAACAAGGCTAACATTACAACGGTTATCTTCAAAATAGCTTATAAACAATACTCATTTTGGTCTGACCTACTAATATCAAATAAAAAGAGTTGGTTACTTTTTCATGTTGATTTTATAATCATTCACTGTATGTATTTGACATGAACCGCTCTGGCAATTTACATTTTTTGTGAATGCAACCTTTTGGCTTACAATTTAGCTTAATATGTACGACGTGGAAGTCTTGAGTACAGAACAGTGCACACCCATCTGGTACACAGATTTCTAAAAGTAGTGACTATATTGGCAAGTACATTCTTTGCTTGAGCTGCCATAGGTGAATTAAGGATGCGCTTCTAAATGAGCAATTTATTTGTAATTGCCAAAGCATATTCAGTCACAATGATGGCCATTTTTGTTTAAATCATGTTAACTCTTTAAAATAACAGAAATACAATTTTTATATATAAATACAAAAATATAGACAATTTATGTAATGCTTATTTTATATTACTGTGGCTAATTTTTTTTTCTAACATGTACATATTTACGATATTTCTTGTACAAGTTGACCTATGTACCATTTTAGTGAAAAAGTTGCATTCATTTTTTGTGTTAAATGTTTTATTTCAATAGTTTTTACTTACCCGGTAAGAAAAAGGCATTCTTTTGTTATTTTGATTTTTATCTTCATGTGCATCAGGATTATGCCCAGAAACAAATTGGTAGTGTATAGGCATTATGTGGTCATTTGTTACATTTTTTTAACAATATATTGTGAGGCTTGCTACAATGTCACAATTTCCATTTTTTAATTATCTTTTTACGTTATAGAACAATAGACTAACTCCTTCTCAACCTATGCCTTACTTGGAGATATGTGTGAAGAGGGTACATATTTAGTTATGGATAAATAGAGGTGTAAAGTGGGCAGGATGGGGATGAGGGTGAATTTGAACGTGTATAGTGGAAAATAATGATCTAACGTTAAAAAGAGTTTTCTACTTCATTGAAAAATCTACCAATAAACATAGTATATATGTTGTATCTTGCTCTGCTTGATGTGAATGTTTATTTGCAATTGTAACCCCTCCTTTATAAATGCTGTGCGTCAGAGTTGTGGAAAAGCACCCCTGGGCCGATTCCTTTTCGTGGTTTCAGAAAATATGACCGAGAGCGCCCTCTGTCTTTTATTAGCTACACCAATTTACCTTGTCGGCAAACTTCGTCGTGTGATATGCACAGTTATAGTATGGTGCGTGCAACAAGAAAACTGTCTCGAGTCATTTGACCGCATGATTTGGTGTGGGTGTTAGCATGACTAAAAACATTCCATTTTTAAATCGCAGTCGCTCTCTGCCATTATAAATTGTCAGTTTTATTTTTCAGATTTTCTTTTCATGTAGGGCCTGCTTTGGATGTCTGACCATTTATTATTTCAGCATTTTGGAAGAAGTGTTTTTGCTCTTTTCTTTGTTTGACTTTTACCCTTTTGTCTTGGCAGCATGAGAAGCAGCAGCCCATTCAAAACTTGCAGATCATTGCAGTCCCCATCTGGTTATAAAATGGCCCAAATCTCATCAATTGACCTTGGGGTGGGGGGGGGTGTGCGCGTCACATGCCATCCTATAGAAACATGTTAGGTGGGTAACAGTCGAACAAATATTTTTTATTCCAAAGTTAGGTATGCTGTAATTGATGACTGGGCTGAGACCATCAACTCACCTGCGCGTGAGAACCCAGTTAAATTTTGCGTGAAGCCGGGATTAAAATCCAAACATCTCGATAGTGCTGGGACACTCGGCCACCTGCTGTGGGAGGAAACGTGCATACCAAGGGTACTTGTATGTACTCTACTGTACTTAAAACGGGCGAACACTCATGGAGGTGAGCGACTACTTGCTATACTGCCATCTACTGGAAACTTCATTGTCGTACGAATTGTGAATTTCATGCACATGATGTTTTTGCCCAACCAATCCCACCTACCTCCAAAGCTTCAGATGTGAGCAACAATCCCTTGCAGTAACTCAAGATTTGACTTCTCAATAGCAGGACTATTGCACGTGACAAAGAGTAGATAAGTGCATGTTTTCATAAGAATCGTTCAAGTTGTGATACAAGTATGACACTTCTGGATATATTAACAATGGGGTATCGTTTCTGAAATAAGCCATTTGAAAATCCAATTTGGAAGCCTTTTTTCAAGATGGCTACGAGTGATTTCTATTTTCACCGCAGAAATTGACCAAGTCAAGTTTGGATGGTTAAATTATACATTTCTATGTTTATGAGCATGTAGTAGCTATTTTTTTTTTTACAAATTATCCGACCGATTGTATGTGTCACTACAGGACAATGACAGGTGATAGAGTAAATATCATTGCACTAGGAGGGCATACGGGATACATCACTGCTGTGCACCTCAGCATGGGGTTTAGTATCGGCGAATGTATTTGTACTTAGCATGTAGTTATAATTTGGTGTCCCAAATGCTACCTAATAAAGCCCAATAATAGATAGCTGTACCTGAATCAACAGGATGTGCCAGCATGGGGACAGCCGAACCAAGGATGACCGCTTTAGTTATCCAGATGGTCTACAGATGGCACGGGACTTAAATGGTACTGGATGAATGATCAGGTTCGGTGTCAGGCAAAGGCATGAGCAACCTCTCTATATCCCAAAGGTGAATGGCGATATAAGAATAAATCTTGAACTATCTAATCTCAATATCTCAAAATAGCCATTCATATTAACGTTCAATCTAAATGGAAAACCGACTGGAGCAAACGTTTCCTTTGTTAACAGGACAATGGAGAGCTCAAGTCACCACCAAGTTCCTCCGACAGTGCAAGTTACGACGGGCTCTCAAAATAGCATCTATTGAAACCGCTTCTAGCAGCAACAAAACAAATTGAGAACTAGTATTTTTTTCGTCCTCTGCTTTTTTTTCGCGTGGAAAAGGCTCCGAATCTGCATTGAGACAAGCAGTGAACGTTGAAACTCAGTGGCAGACTAAATTAATGTGCAAGGGCTTTTAGTGATTGTGAAGGTTATTGGCAAAACTCTGGATATTTAGCATCGGAGCTGAAATACCATTCTGTTTGACAGAATTGTATAATGGAAAGAGTCCTCCTTAACCATGAGAAGTGGTCGAGGCTTACCTGCCAAGGAAGGCCATCCACTATCATTTTCGGAAGTAGTCCCCTATATACCCGAGCTAAAATCTTGCAAGTTTTTAAATACAATACCAGGGTACATTGCATCGTTATCATCACCCATGATCCATCCACAGCTGGATTGAGACCTTCCAAGCCACCGTCATATTGTGACCCTGTGATGCAACCATCCACCAAGGACCTGCACACGCACTGATTTCATTTATGTCTGCAGTGGACGTCTTCTCGGATGCATTCCGACCCTTTGCCACTTCGTCATTATTTTGGGCCACCGACCATCCTCCCTTATGATGATCTGCACAAGGCCAATTTCCTTTTTTTCACAGTGTTGAATGTCAATAACCTGCTAATGTATAGTCAATGTGTTCCACTTTTGGTCTCGTCATTCTAAGCATTCTTTTCTCCACGCTTATTTACGCACTTGCCAGATTTTGTTGAAATGTTTTGGGTGTTTCAGAACTGTGTGTCATTGCAGCTCGTACATAATTATTAATGCTATCTTGAGGTACATTGGTATGTTACTTTCAATGATTAAATTATAAGTTTTTTGACAAATTCCACAGTAAATGTGGAATTTTCACCACTGGCTCAGGGTTGAAAACGAGCTGAATACCGCCTCAATGCTCATTTGAGGAAGAAATTACTGATGGACCTTTTTTTGCTCGTCTAAGAAAACCAAGCTTAAACGGAAAAAATATAAACAGCACTAAGTTTTACATTTGTGCAGTAGGGGGCAGAATAACGCTTTTGTAGAAGTTTATATAATTATATCGATCGTGCTCTGTTGATCTTTTGGAAATTGCTAAGTTCACGTACAACGTTTTAAAAACTGTTGAAAACATCGCATTTCTCTCATTGGAATCTCAGCTCATTATAACGATGATGATCATTAGGCGAGTGATTCGCGCATTGCGCTATAAACCCAGCAATCCGAGTTTGGATGCCAGGCGAACGGTCCGGGGTCTCCCGCTTTAACAAGCTATTACTAATCAGCGAACTATGGTCAAACAACCGCTGTGTGACCGACAAAAAAACGTGGGGACGCCTCCATCCAGCAGTTAATTGAAGTTAATTAATTATTAATAGTGCCCTTATGATGCTGGATTATTGTACGAAGAACACGTGCTCGTGTGGAATTCCATCGGCGTTCGCACAGGGAGTGACGGCCAGAGCAGAATGATGCACGAAAGACACGCGGATCGTACCCTTATTTTGTTCAGCGTCGAGCATTTGTTTAAGGTTTGTTTAACACTGCGTCTGTCGTGCGCCTATGAGTGTGTTGGTATTCCGCACAGGGTCAAAATTTAACTGTTTAAATGTAACTGGTTAACTGGTTATCGTTAAAACCCTTGGGAGTGGGGGTTTGACTACTCGGCTTCGCCCGGGACTTGGATTCACCACGCCCGGCCGCCTTTGTCTCCACCGGTGGTGGCCGTGAGCGGGAATCGAACTCGGGTCGCCGGGTTCGTAGCGCAGCGCGCTAACCACTACACTACCGCTCCCCCACCACAAACGTGCTCGTCCATAGGTACACATACACGCGCTTGCTGCAGACACACACAACTTTCACGGTGCGTGCGGCAGTAAACGACTGAAATAATAAAGCAATGCTGCGCGAAGAACGTCTTAGACCTGCAACACATTTTTATAGCACTTTAGCCGCGATCAGCAGGCACACTCCGTTACGCTTCCGCACACGGGTGACATGACATGTGACGTCACAGTTCACTTGCCGTGCAAAAAAATCATTATTGAGCCCCCCCCCCCCCCAAAAAAAAATTATACAAAAGTGTATTTTTATAATTTCTGCATGGTTAACAGTCTAGAAAGTACCTACATGGCAAATTTCAAGTTTGTTGCATGTCGGGAAGTACGCTAAACATTTTGAACAGACACACATAATCACAACTTTACCTTTTATATATATGGAGATAGAGAAGAGATTTTATAATATCACCAAGATTGCTTGGCAGTGTGGCTTTAGCGTATTTTACACGGCAGGAATGTTATTGTTTTAGGCAATGCTGCGCGTACATTAGTTACACACTAATAACAATCACCGCTGGGCATTATTTTCATTACTCTTTGGTTCTTTCGGTAAAGTCACGTAGGTAGTAATAAAATAAAATAAATCACGTTTCGATCGCAACACAAGCAATCTTCATCAGGTGGAACAACCACAGCAAGAAATGCTGAAGTAGGCGAGAGAGCTGCCGTGGCAAGAGGTTATATAGGTAAGAAAGGGGGGAGAGAGAGGGGGGGGGGGCTGCGTGAGTGCTAGGGGAAGAGGACGTGAGGCTGGGGGGGGGGGGAGTGGGCGGGGCTAGAAGTGGGAAGCTGAGTGTGGGACACGGGGGAAAAAAATAAAAATGTACTTGTCACCGGCAGGTAGGAAGGAAACAACCACAACCAGTTAAGGCATTACCTGGTTATTAACATCCTTCCAATGATTGTTCAATTTGTATCCATCTTCTCGGTTGAAGTTATGTCTGTTTATATATCTGAATGGCTTCATGAACAAACCTTTGATAGTTGCCTGAAGGTTTGCAGAGTACCTTGGTCTCGGAAAAAACAATATCATGCGAACCCACAGCATTATAACAATGATTAGCTACGGCAGAGGTATTGGTTCTGCCGTGTTTCAGATCTGCCTTGTGTTCGCGAACACGGTCCGAGACATGTCGTTTCGTTTCCCCAATGTAACTGCTACCGCAGGTACAACTCAGTTTGTAGACTCCAGGATATTGCATGTCAGGAATGACCTCCTTCACAGATGGGATTAGATCACGGATTTTGTGTACTGTATTGAATCGGACCTGGATCTTGTGTTTGTTTAAGATTTTGGAAATATTTTTGGTAACACCTGCTAT